TAGTAATATAGTGAGATTCGTAATATAGCGCCAATATCACCTTCTATATCAAGTAATATCTCATATAAACGAACTGTCATTCTATATCACGATCCGAGCTTGATATAGCTCATATCACGTTCCGATTTTTAAAAATACCTGAAAAGCAGCAGCTGGCATCACGGCCGATAGAGCTGAACGTCATTATGTCATTTGACGCTACCCATCAAACCTTAGCTTTTGTTTTGCTTTGAGGTTTGATTTTTTCATTCGCTGTTTGATATCTTGTTGCGTCCCGTCGTCGTCGTGTCACCGTGTCCCATCGTCCGGTTATCCGTGTCCCCGTGAGTAAAGTGTTCAGTTCGCGTTGTTTGTGAGGTTGTTTTCATTTCGGAAATATGAAAACAAAACAAACAAAAAAGCGAAGCATCTGGTCTGCAGCCCAAATGAAACTTTTATTTGAAGCGTGGGAGGACAAACTTCAAGACCTGCGAGGCAGCCGCAAAAACAGCCACATTCTGGAGGAAATTCGCGTTCTTTTTTCAACGCATGGTTTTACCGTTTCCACGGACGAAATAAAAGTCCGAATTCATAACCTGACCGCCAGGTACAAGTAAGTTTATTATACGTTATGTTTTTCAATCCATCATCTGTTTCACTTGAAGTAAAACGCACCGAAACCGTGGCAGAAATTGTCGACAAAGGATCACTATGTCGACGACTTCTGCGGGTTTTGTTTCAGATTGTAACTGGCATATTTTACATGTCTTTCAGGAAAGAGAAATGCGCTATTGGTTCTCTCATTGCGTTTAGTTGTCTTACGTGCTGCGTAAGTATTATTCTTAAATTTCGTCCACTGACTCCCATTTTAACTTTCAACAATCTTTAGAACGCGAGATGGAACGTTTGCAAACGATAGTCTTCTTTCCCTAATTTGTTTTTGTCAGGGGTTTTGTTTTGGTTCATTAATGTCAAACCATATCATCTCGCTGTAGTGTGAACACCTCAACGTGATATCGATATCATCTCGCTATATAACGTAATATAGAGCGTAATGTGATCATACTATTACGAAGCAGTGAATGATGAAGCGAATGGCTGTTGATATTCATATGAAAATGACTCATTGAACCTGACGGTTTTGTGCACTGGTTGTGTTGGTGGGTCGGGTTATTTTTAGCTCAGGAGTCACTGTGTTACTTGATGCGAGCAGTAAAGCAGCAGATTGCCTTCATTTAAGGTGATTTCTTGTAGAGTCCACCAATGACCATCACGTAGGCTATACATGCACTTTCACATCGAATTTTCAATTACAGACAACTCTGAAATTAATGCCCAATTTTACCTGAAATTGCTACTTCGTGTATGCTGCAGTACAGCAAAGGCGGATAATTTTTGCGCATCTGCGGGTAGTATTCAATTGTGCTGAGTGGTTCCTGAGCAGTGTTGGGAAAACATCAAAAAATCAAATCTCACCAATGCCCAAGATCACGCTTGATTTTCGTTGATTTTGCAGTAATTTCAAAATCCAGGTACAGTGTCTACATGGTTTTGTCAACACGACCTCACGAGCTATTACTTTCCTCAGATATGTACTACCCAACAAACAATCCTAGCAGCATACCAGTCTATACAGGCACAAATTAGCTGGATAATTGTTGACTGTATAAGCTAGTCTGTAGCCAAAATTGTTAGTTAGGTAGTGCTTTCTGGATCTGGACATTTGTTTATGAAATATCAAATGGTACTCTAACTCATTAATTGTGGTCCAATGCAACCTCAAATTGAATAAAGCGTTCGATACATTTTGTAGAATTATAAAAAAAAAATATGGAAATAACATGCTGCTAAAAACGGGAAGGCACCGCAATTTCCTTATTTCACAAATTGTAATTCTAGTTAGCGCCAGGTAATCACTTCAATTATTGTCAATTATTGATTAATAGCGATGTGTGAAGGAAACTGCAACTGCTCGATTTACTCCATGATATGAAAAGAGGTTCTTGGCATGGCATTTTTCTCACCCTTAGAAGCCGTGCTGAAAATATGCCCCAAAAGTCAGTATAACTCGCGGACTTTTCCCTTGTTGAACTTGTGAAATATCGTGAACATTTTCAACCCTGCTTAGAAGTTCTATTCTGACTGTTTCCGAACTCGACGCTAGGGGTAGAAAGTCACCCAGTTCTCCTACAGCTTACATATGAAATACTTGTCTTTAATCCCTTGAGCACAATTTGCAGGGTGGCAAGTGAATTTCCATTTTGAATTTCCTGGGTTTTCCTGGTTTTCCTGGCCAATGATTTAAAAATTTCCTGTTTTTAAAACCATGTATTTAAAAAAATATTTTTAATAAAAAAAAAATAAAGTGAATCCTTGTACCAGCGTTCTTCGCGCAATACGGAATTTCACAAACCAAAATAGGTATTCAGGTTCTTGTGAATGCCCGTGAAATCTTTATCTGATTGTTTGCTGTAAAGAAGCTAGTAGGGAGCCGCGCTACTTCGTTGTATCATGGCGCCTTTTTCCGTTCTATGTGCTAAAACTATAATAGCAAAGCGTTTTCACTCATGTTTTTGCAAAAACATCTTTGCTTACAAGATTAATTACGATTGACACTGAAACATTTGCGATAACCCGTAAAATGAGCGAACCCGGGTGTATGACGAAGAAAAGCTGAGATACGATGGACTAGCGCGGAGCCCTATCTAATGTCTGAAATTAAGAGATCTATAAGCCCCTAAATTTTGAAGTTTCTGTTTTTGATACTGCGATTTTTTTAACTTTTTTATTGAGAGTTTTAGCCAAGTTTATCTCAAGGTGAAATTGCGAAGAGTGATATGAATGAGGACGCTTTAAACAAACCTTTGCTTCTAACAATTTTACGGATTTCCAGTTTGTTTAAATTTTCCGCAAATTGTCAACGATTAAGGATCTTATTTAGCGGAATTTTGATTACAACATGATTTGAAAATCATATTAGGTCATCATAATAGTTCACAGGATTTTCCTGAAACTTGTAAGACTTTCCCGAATTTTGTAGAACTTGCATGAAGTTCGAAGGCCTTATCTGAAGTTTTTAGAAATAGAACTTTTTTATTGAACAAGTTGAACAGCTACTTCAAAGTAGTTATGCGTCGGCACTGCTTAAGTCTGCTATCAATTAAGCACAAATCATACATGCAATTGATTTTAGAAAAAAATTAAATTTAAAATAAATACAAAATATATTTACTAAATTCTCAGGGTAAATTTTGTTCATCAATATTTAGTTGTGTGAAAGATTAAGCTTGAACAAAATGGTTAGTTTTGACCTGATTATAAAAAGAAACTTTTACACACATTAAATTTAAACCCTATTTAAATTATACAAACAAGATTATTTTCCTGGTGGACTTATGAAATTCCTGTTTTTTTTCTGGTTTTTCCTGGTGAAAATAAATTCCTGACTTTTTCCCGGTTTTCCTGGTTTTCCTGGTTCACTTGCCACCCTGCGCTAGGGGTAGAAAGTCACCCAGTTCTCCTACAGCTTACATATGAAATACTTGTCTTTAATCCCTTGAGCACAATTTGAGACCCAGCTCCGCAAGAAAATTATTCCGGATAATACGCTTAACCAAACGCTAATGCGAGGCCATATTCCTATGTTGGGAAATAGTGAAAACAGCGCTTTCACCTCCACAATTCTGTAATTTAATTTCATCGCAATTGCAATCCTAAAACTTCACTGAGAAGCTAATTTTCCGAGCTAACCAGATTTACAATGAAGACCTAGAATACTCAATAAAGCCACTCTATGCTTGCTGACGAGGCAATGCATGTCTAAGTTTTTTTTTAATCTTTAATCAATCATAAAAGTATTACTCCTGCTTACAGCAATCAAAGAAAAAATCCACCCAGGCAAGTTAGTTGATTCTCTGAGCTAATGTATTAAGAACACAATAAGGAATAAGAACTACAAGTGTTAAAAAAAATCACCCTCTTCTCTTGACTCTTTACTAATCTTGAATTTACTCAAAAGCGCTCCAATGCGCGCCCATCTACGTCAGACCTAATTAGGTGTAACATCTATTAAGAGACGCACATACCCATTTGGAGGTTAAATTTTGCGACAACTTTCAAGGTCTAGTGCCTAATTAAATAAATGTTTATCAACCCTCAGGATCTCAGTTTAACTCAGGAATGTGTCAACACACAGTTGGAGCTGAATTTATATTAGGCGCAAAATCATCAAAAAACCCCTTTATTTCAGTAATTAAACATCAAGCATTGAGCAACCACATATTCGCAACTCTATTTAAAATTTGAAATTAACAACCATCCTCAAACTAAAATTAGTAATTAAGTTGCTTGAAACTAGCAAAATTAGTCATACTTCTGTGATTAAGAAATATTTCCCTGAATTTGAATGAAATTCCCTGATTTTCCAGGTCCAAAAATGAGTTCCTTGATATTTCCTGATTTTTTAGAATTTTTTTCAGGTAATCGACAACCTGCTGATACCCTTTGTACCCTGGACTCTGGAGGATGTGAAGCGATACTGAAATCCATCGTCACCGGTTTCTTGTGAAGTAAGGCGTCGATGGCCTAGTGTGTACCAATTTTACTTACTGAGCAGAAGATAGTGGGTTCTATCCATCCCTTTACATTACTGAATTCATAGCGTTGCATCGGGCTTTAAAAGATCGCATCACTTTTCAAAGTGCATTCAGATCTAATTTAATCTTTCCACTAACAAAAAAAAAATCCTTTCTGTAACATCCGTGGAGATGCAGAGGTGTATTCGGTCTCTGGTAACAGCGCATGCCGAACTGACAACCCTTGCCATTCCCGATGACCGTAAGGTCGAGGCCAGCGCCATTGTTGACCATATAAATTAATAAACCATCGAAATATATACATAGAGAATGATAAGCTAATCCCAAGCCACAATCATTTGAATCAATGTGCAATATTGCTGGTTCTCGACAATCACGGAGTAGCAGCTACAACTACCGCTCCGGTCGCAAATCACAAAAGCTCACCTTCTGGTAGATCCTGTTTGTTGGCAAATATCAGTATGATGGCGTCCCGCATCTCCCGGTCGTTGATTATCCTGTGCAGTTCTTGCCGCGCTTCGTCTATTCGATCCCGGTCCGCACAGTCTACTACGAATATGAGTCCTTGTGTGCCTAAAACGAGCAACAGGTTTGTTACAAGGATACAATATAATAGCGACGACAGACGACTGGTCGGTCGGTGTCAATCATTACCTGTGTAGTAGTGCCTCCACAATGGTCTAATTTTATCCTGCCCGCCAACGTCCCACACGTTGAATTTGACATTCTTATACGTTACGGTTTCGACGTTGAAGCCGACGGTTGGAATTGTCGTTACCGATTGACCTAATTTTAACTTATATAAAATAGCTGTGAACGAAAGCGGAAAACCGGACATCATATATTGTTAGTCTAACGATCAGACAATGGAAGGGAAGGTTCAGCGATACTCACTAGTTTTACCAGCGGCATCCAGACCGAGCATCAATATTCTCATCTCCTTGTTGCCGAAGATTTTGGATAGTAACTTCCCCATTGTTGACCGATTGCACTTTGTACCCCTTTAACAGGGGCTGCTGGAAGAAAACGAAAGGAAAATTAAATTAGTATTGTGCTCCGGTGAGTGCTATACAAGCATTGTTAAATAAATAGCTGCTGACTGAGAGATAAAATCACGAATTGGATGATCCCTTTCGTCATCAGATCTCGGAGAAGGAATTCGCCGACACGTTATCATAAGCAGTTTACATTACGTGATAACCGTTGCTAAAGGTCTCTCAGTAACAAATTCCTATATACTAAGAACGCCACTCAAAACGAACACCGGTATCACATATCTCGAATTCCTCCACCGCAACCGATCTAAGCGAATAGGGATGAGTTACAAAACGATTATTGATCGGATTTTAATTGCACTGTCTCCGTTGACCACGGCAAACGAAATCAAGGGCCGGTCGTCTCTATCTAGAATAGCTCGGCCGGCAACTGGAGCAAACTTTGCTCGCGTACGATTGATGATAACAATCCACAGCAGAATGAATTATTCATTGTTCACGGTGCTTTTTTCTATTCGAAAACCTTCCAGGCTTGCATCGCTCCTTTGCACCAACACCAACAACGATGACCAGCCGGTTATCAGTTTGCGAGTTTATTGATACTATTCAAATATGTGCGTTTTTTTTTTTTTTTTTCATTCATGATGACGATGATGGTGACGACGGTAGCGGCGACTCGAACGGAGTCGGTGATAACGTCGGCAAAAAATACCTAAATGGTTCAACAAGTTCCAATGGACAGGTTTGTATACATCTTCCTGTCCGACGGTCAAAGCAAGAGAGAGATAGGGCGCTTATGAATAAAGTTACATATGCTTTTACATCGTAGCTAGAACTATAATATTGAAACTATACAATCATCGATATAGTTCACGTCAGAAAAAGTTAGTATTGCATCCGTAGTGTCTACCTTATCGCAGATCGTTTTGCAAAGATCGAATAATCATATGACTATGAAGTAGGGTGCAAATGTAGAACTTCCTACTTCTAGTGAAGTTGAAATTTTCGGGCGTCTATGATTATCCTCTACATTGCATAGATTGTATGCATCGTTTTCTACCATTTGAATGACATGCTCGACAATCAGCATTTTAAACGAAAAGCAAATGAATCATTGTCGTCAATCTTACACGCCCACTCCTCTAATAAAATTAGTCAAACCGTATTATTCCACCGCCGAAAGCAACTTTAAAATGAGCTTTACACCACTTCGGGGCGCGGATAATTTTAAGACAACAATAGCGGCATAAACTAGCTTGTTAGTGGAATTAGTAGCTACCGTGCATATTTCCATGCTTGACGGAAAAAAAAAATGGCAATCTCCATTCTCATACCGAAATTTGCCTTATCTAGCTGAATCCCTCAACGAAACAAAGAAGAATAATAAACCTCAAAGAGGTGAAAAATTTGTATTTTGTTTTCCGTTGACTCGCTAACCGTTCGTAGCCATGTAACGACCAAATCCAACTGAGTGTCTGTAGGCCATCCGGTAGCTCAGTGAAAATCAACCATTTAGCCAAGAATCTCGGAACGGCCCATGTCATGATGTTTTTCCTTCACCAATCAGTCATTTTTGTTCTATTTTAGAGACGGGGTAATTGGTCCCACCAAAAGCTGGTTCCTAGGTCGGTCACTGCAATATGATTAAGGACGGGGATATTTATTTATTTATCGCATCCAACAAACACAACAGGCAGCACAGCAGACGTATGAGTTTGAGCGCAAATAACTCAGCGGAAATTTGATTATTTTCCTTGATTGACATAACAAAGCAAGAAATGAAGCGGAACGACGCGCTCTCACCCGCACATAGGCACTATAATGGCGTGGAATAAGAAAGACGTGCAGAACATCGGCTAACTGTCGACCGCCTGATGGCGTTTGGTCGTTTTGGATCTGTATACCTAGTACTACTTGTGGTGTTGTTTCTGTTGTTATGAAGATGAACGGTGACGGGAAGAGAGCACAAGGTTGCCAGATTATGCCCAAAACATTATTACGGCAGAAAATAATTTGACAATTTCTTACTAACTTTACTTTTGCTGGTCCAGAGCCCTTGCAGATTTGACCTGCTGTACAAGGTTGCGCTAACTAACTCCGTTTCCCAACTACAGGGCTGGTAGCGATCACTGCTGTGAGAAATAGTGATTTTAGTGACCATGTTGAATAAATAAGTGACCAAATCAGTGCTAACATTTGAAAACGGCACAAAAGCCATTTGTAAACAAATGGTTTGTGGGCCCTTTACTCACTACTTGAAGTACACCCACTCGACACAACAGCAACATCGGGTAGGGGAAATTTTCCCCTTCCTGACGATGCTGTTGGTTTGCGTGGGCGTTCTTCGGGTAGCGAGTAAAGGGCCCACAAACCATTTGTTTACAAATGGCTTTTGCGCCGTTTTCAAATGTTAGCACTGAAATAGCGACTTATAGTTCTAAAAATAGTGACTAAAAAGTGACCTAAGAGAAGAAAACACTACACACTTAGAAATAATTAATTTTACACATGACGGAATCCGTCTTTGACATAAAGAATGAGACGTAAACAAACATGTCATGTAATATTAAGTGCTCCGAGACTGAAAAGTTCGTTGCTAGATGAAAAGCACGTTTGATTGAGGTATATTTCGCGTCTGTTATGACTCAACTTTTTGTCAAAATTGACGCTCGTATATGTCACTCTCAGAGCACCTAAAAAAATTGACGCTCGTATATGTCACTCTCAGAGCACCTAAATTTACATGATTTTTTCTAAGTGTGTAAATAAATGTTTGATGTTTTAGACTTATTAAATTATTATCTCATAAACACTTATGTACGATATGAACTTTTAAAGCGAAAGATTCAATAGAAAGTTTATAATCAAACCGGAAATCTACAGGAATTTTTTTGTTTCCTTAAACTACCCGGAATTCTCAAAAAAATAAAAAATAAATATTACTAAGGATATTTTAAAGAAAATAATGAATTTTAAAATACAACCATTTAATATTTCTCGTTATTTTCATTCACACTTTGAACTTTGAAGATTCACAATGCATTAATCTTAAGTAACAAATAAATTTAAAAAATAATAATTTTTGGTTTTGGAACATGCATATTTCCTAGAAAAAAATAATTTGAACTAATAACATGGACATAATAGCTATAATACTTAAATAAATTTCAAAGAATCTGCATTCAAATTCCATGAACAGTTTAAAATACTCGAGGAATTTTATTATGATTTCTAAGGACCTCATTCCAAGGGAGCTCTGGAAAAAAATTCATTCAGAATAATGTCGGCTTTCGAGGTAGTTTTCAGGAATTTTAGATTTCATATGAAGCCTTAGTTTTTAGTAGAATTGCAAGAAATCTTAGGAATTTCTGAGAAGTACAACTCTTGTAAACTTCACCGATTTTTTTTTTTTTTAAATACTAAAAGGAGGATTACAATTAAATGTGAGAATAACTCCAGAACATCTTCAAAGGAATTTGGAAAATAAATTCAGAAGAGTTTGCCAAACAAATTATGAGAAGAAATCTGAGGAGAAATGCCAATGAATTGTTAGGAGACTTTCAATGTAAGTAGAATTCCAAGGGAAGGAGTGAGATTCAAAAAGAAATCTGATGAATTCAATGAATACTCGGAGAATCTTTCCAAAGAATTTCTAATTGTGGAGAATTTCAAAGTAATTCCGAGGAAAACTAAAAAAAAATTTAATTCTGAGGATAGCTTCATCGAGATTTTGAGGAAATCTCCGTTAAATATGGAATGAACTATTTTGAGGTCTTTAGAAACACTTGAAAATTCTCAAATTTTTCCTGAAGTTAATGAAACTGCCTTGAAGTTCTTTTGTAGTTTGATGAACTAGCCTGATGCTCATAATACTTCTCCTCAAATTCTGAACATTATAGGACTTTCTAAAGTTTCCTCAATTTTTCTAACGATCATAGATCTTCTTTAAAGGTTCAACAATTCACTGAAGTTCTCTAAACATCTTTAAAATTTATGTGACATCTCTAATGTTGACGGAACTGCTCTGAGGTCCTCTGTTCTTTTCTGAAATTCTCAAAACTTCTCGAAAGTTTTTGCAGTTCGCATGAAGCTTTTTGTACTGCGCTGTATTTAATTAAATCGTCCTAAAAATGCTTCAGTGAACTTCTGAACTTATGCGAAGACCTTAAATAATTTTTTAACGTCTCTGAAGTTATCTGAAAATCTGGAAACTGCTTTAAATTCCCCACTAATTTTCTTAAACTAATGGAACTGATTTCTCCCTGAAATTCCTCAAATTTTCGGAGCTTACTAAACCTCTTTCAAATGCTTCCGCATTTTGCTAATGTTCATAAAATTTCCTGAAGTTTGCGGATCTCATCTCAAGCTCCATAGATTTCTATGAAGTAATGTTTCTGAAGACCAGGGTTACTTCCACTCACTTCGCTATAAAAAATGTTTTACGGAATTATGGCATCATTGGATGCTATTATGAAAGTTTGTACTTGTCAGAAACAAGAAAAGGTTGGAAGGCATGTATTTGACACATAAAACCTGTCAATTTCGCTTTCAGTGCGTCACAATCAGCGAATTTATGACTCGTGAGCGTTCACTCAGAGTGAGCGCTCACGAATCGTAAAATCGCTGATTGTGACGCACTGAAAGCAATAATGACAGGTTTTATGTGTCAAACACCTAGTTTACAACCTTATCTTGTGACTTACAACTACAAACTATTATTATAATATCTAATAAATTCATAATTCCAAAAAACAATTTTTTATAGCAAGTGAGTGGAAGCAAGCCTGCTGAAGACCACTGTCCTTCTGTGAAGTTTCCGAAGTTTTTAAAATTTCTAAAGCTATCTGATCGTCCTCGAAGCCTCGGAACTTCGCTGATTATGATAAAACTATCTAAAAATATCTAAATTTAGTACTCTGGAATTTCTGAGATATCGCTGCTTGCTAAAAGTTCTCGCTTTTTTTTATTAATTGAACTTCGATGATGTTCTTTAATCAATCCAGCTAAATTTTCACGTTTTC